AGTAAAGTTGGAAAGATGTGGCTTATGTTTAAGTTTTGAATCAGTAAATACATACTGTTAATAAACTGTTAAAGGTATTCCCATCCAAATTATACTTATAATTCAAATGATGATAACCCACATATATTATCTTGCATTTATTATAATTAAAACGTTTATATCATCAGCAAATGCAAGTAATTTATTGACAATTTCTTCGTCTGTGTCATTGAAGTAAACCAAAAAGAGCAAAGACCTTAAGATTGAGCCCCAAGATACCTTACTTGCGACATTAATCCAATTTGAATTAACTCCATTTAAAACAATCCTCTACATTCTACCATCCAGCCAATTTTCTATCCAATTAGCTAACTTATCCCACATACCAACAGATTTTTTTTTCACTAGCCTTTTATGTGGCACCTTGTCAAATGCTTACTGAAAATTCAGATACAACAAATCTACACCATGACCCTTATCTACATAAGCAGTAACATTTTCAAAGAATGTCAAAAGATTTGTAAGGCAATATTTTCCATTAGTGAAATCATGCTGACTATCCATTGAAATTCTAAACTTTGTTAAATGACATTGCAAAGCATCTTTTATCAGACTTTCCAAAACACGATTGATGTAAGAATAATAGGCCTATAATTACTGGGACAATTTTTATTACCTCCCTTGAAAACAGGAATGACATTAGCTAATTTTAATCATCTGGCACCTGCCCATTATTCAAGGGCTTACAAAAATAGTAGCAAATGGTTCACTTATCCAATCTTTAACTTCCTTCAAAAACCCTTAGGTAAGTATTATTTGGCCCAGGAGCCTTATCGTTCTTTAATGTTCCCAATATTTTCTTTCCAAGCTCAGAATGAATGCAATAATATTATTCAATCTTGTTTCCATCTGTCAATTGTTCAAGACGGAGGAATACTGCTTAAATCTTCATCAGTAAAAACTGAAGAAAAAGCATAATTTAATAACCCAGCCATCTCATATCCATCAGATACAAGCCTTCCTTTATCATTCCTCAAGGGTCCTACCCTTATCCTAACATTCTGATTACCCTTAATATATTTAAAGAAATCATCAGTGTTAAATTTTACATTAATTAGCTCCTTTGACTTACCTTTTCTCACATTAGCTCCAACATGCACAACAAAAATTGCACCATTGCTAGCCGCTATATTATATCTCTTGTTCTGTCAGTTATATCCTCCACCTGTGCCCCTGGGTAGCATAATCTAATTTTTTTCTCCAAAGACTATCCTATCAACATGCCTTGTCAAGGAATCACCTATAACTATAATCTCCTTAAGTTTATCATCCACATCCTTCTCTGTCCCTTTGGTTTTCCTTCCCTCCAGTAGTTCCTCATCTGCACAAGCCAAGGGCTGAAATCTGTTACTCAATAGAATAGGCTTTTTACAATTAAATCCACCACTTTTAGCCCTAATAATTCTCTCACTAACTTCGTGAAAGTCATTGTTAGCTGATGTATCCCTTGCATGTAAAAGCTTATACTAGAAATCCTTCTGCCATTTCCCACAGTTTATGCTTCTCTTTATCTATTGCCTCTACTTTAATTAGGATTGACTCTACCTTCTTCTTCAACCTACAAACTTTACATACAAGTTGCACATCTTCACTACAAGCTTCCATAAAAATATATACAAGTCCAGAGTTCCCCGATAAAATCCACTCATTGCACCCATCACACCTAAGAAACTGTGAATGCTTAACTCCTACACTGGTCTTAATCATTGTATTTGTAGCCTGAAAATAAACACTCAATACTAAATACCAGTGGCTTATTGCCAACACTGTTAAGCCTAACGTTTGAGAATCAAATATTACAGTTTTTTTTTTTATCACTACCGATGTAATTAAGTTTATAAAGTTCTAGGGTTTGTTTCACTGCTGAATCAGTGAATACATGTATAGTTATATGTTTCAGTGCTGAATTAGTGTATACATGTATGGTTGTGTTCTGTGTTCCAATGCTGAATAAGTTGATATATTTCAATTTATAGTCTGTGTTTTTATACTGAATCAGTGGGTTCATATAAAGCTCTGCATCAATGGATAAACGTGAAGTTGAGGGCTGTGTTTTAGTAATGAATCAGTGTATAAATGTAAAGTTATGGTGGATATTTTAATGCTGGGTCAATGGATACACATATAGTTATGATTTGTTTTGGTGCTGCATTTGTTGATACATATAATATTGTGATATATGTATCAGTATATGTAAAGATGTGGTGTATGTGTCACAGCTGAATCAGTGGATACATGTAAATTTATAGTATATGTTATGGTTCTGAATCTGTTCATATACGTTAAATTGTAGTATGCCTTTAAGTGGGAAATAAGTGGATAGCTGTAAAATCTTTGTCTTTCTTCCACTGCTTAATAAAAGGGGTACATGAAACATAGCAGACTGTGTTTCGGTGCTAAATAAGAGGATATATATATATAAAATCTTGAGTTGTGTTTCAGGGCTGAATCAGTGAATACATATAAAGCAGTGGTATATGTTTCAGTGCTGAATTTCTTGGTATATGTAAATTTGTGGTCCATGTTTATGTGCTTAAGTAGTTGGTATATGTAAATTTGTGGTTCATGTTTTTGTGCCGAATGAACGGATATATGAAATGTTGCTATCTATGTTTGAGTACTGAAATTGTTGATACATATAAAATTGTGGTTATGTTTTAGTGTTTAACCTGTTGATGCATACATAGATGTAGTAGTTATATCAGAATTTATGCACAAACCTACAAAAGGGATATCTGCAGATGATCTTCTCTAACTTTCAACTAACATATTAGAGGGAAGACAACTAGTCATCTAGTAAGAGTCCTTGAGTTACCCTTGTCTAACTGAATAGTGGGATTTGAGCATTACTTTAGTGCACTGATGGCTCCAACAGGCAGAGTACCTTTTGAAGGAAAAGGTCATATACACAAATTCTCAGATTCACATTGTGCATGAAATAGTATATAAAGATACACCATTCTTTGTTTTTTTCTACAAAGTAACTTTTTTCAGCCAATAAATGTTAATATATTCAAAGTTGCAATTACTTGTTTCATGTAATAAAATAAAAGTTAAAAATTATATATTTTGATAAATAGAAATTTGAAAATAAACTGGTTACTAAATTTTAGTAAATATTTCGCATCTAGTTTTTACTCATTAACCCTATCACTATGGCCTCAGTCCATTTGATCGAGTTTGTAATCCCAAAGTGACCGTCAAAATTTCCACACTAAGTTTTAATAGATTTTGTGTATCTTCACAAAGTTTGGGAAGCTTTCAGTAAACGTTATACATATTTTGTACACAAAAAATCATTTTTTAATTAAGTATTTTGCTAAAAATTTATCCATGAATATATGGAGTAAGTGTTGACTGCTTAGAGTTCAAAGTGATCTTCATGTTAAGATTAAAAATACTTTTTTCAGCTGAAAATAGTCACATTTCACTTGTATAATCTCTAAAACCTCCTAAATAAACATCAAACAATTTGTTTTCAGTAAAACTTTATACTTCATCTGTTACTTTCTCCAAACTAACTCTATACGCATTTGGTTGATTTGAATGACCTTGTTATAACCACAAAAAAATAAATACTAAATCTAAATTACCCTTTTTTCTTTCTAGAATGACTGCAAATTGTAACTGGATACTACAATTGTTTGTTTTAAATAGCTTAAAACTTGTAACAGTTTACATCTGTTTATACATTTATTTTATTGCCCTTTGACCAGTGTCAAACTAATAATCTTACTATACAGCAAATGTGTGGTCCACATTACCATACTGAATTTTGTAATGCATGAGCTGTTCAAAAAGCATACCTGATGAAAAATTATTTTTTATTTTCTTCATTATACTATCTAATCTAACCCTATTCTACCTAATAAGCTTCTAATGTTTACATTTTAGTTAATTTTATAATACTAAACAAATAATGTACATGAAAAATGATATATATTACTTACCTGAGACCCTTTCCTTTTTAGCTGTCAGTTGCCGATGAAGTTTAAGCCTACTTTTTATAATCATAGTACTAGTACACTAAATTTTTATTTACTTAAATAATGCATCTAAGAACACAGAATAACAACACACGCAAAGCAAACAATGTCCTATAACTATTTCAATTTTGCAGGCTTTCTAACTTTAGCATAAAAACCTTTAAATCTTACCTTGAGCGTCTCAATCTGAAGACTACAACAGAAAATTTCAAACTGAAGAAGAAACAGACAATTCTCTGTACGGAAAACAACGTAACATAATATGTCATTTGACAAGTTAAACCTTGGCTTTCTATTAATTATAAATAATATAAAACGTCAGAGAACTAATGACAATTTGTGACAAGTGGGCATGGCAAGTGGGTCTGATTTTCTAGTTTATGACTATAAACAAATAATATTGAAGGCTATAAAAATTATGCCTTGTCTATGTAATATCTATATTATAATGAGCAACTTACATCAAATTCCGTACTTCTGAAAGTTAATTACAGAAGAGAGAACACCTAGAAAACAAATGTCACAGTTCTCATACTGGGAGAAATTGAGGATTTGTTTAAATATTTCCTTACAAAATTAAGAAATTCATGCTCATATAACATTAACATTTGATTCACTAACTATTCTTCAATACCAAGTTTATTCATGTACAATGATAACAAAATAGTTCAATTATATTTTGAGAGTGACTCTCTAAAAGTTCATGAGATGCACACTTGGCCTACCCATAGCAAAAGGGTTAATCTTTCTAAAACTCTCATGAGAATAAAGCTATCTATACAGTGTCCATTGCAGCGATTGATCTCCCAATTTCATGGTTATAAGCCCTCATGCTTACTCCTGAGCCACAAGGAATCTCCACAAATATACAAATGAAACAGTTTACAATTCTGTAGGAACTGCAACTGTAAATCAATTGCATAATTTTGTGACAAGAATATACATAAAATATGTTAAACAACCTGAATTATACAATTTAATATCTAAAATCTTTATTTCTTCATCAGTTTTTAGTAACTAAAAACTTTCATTTTATACAGAATTAACATTTAAGAAGTCAAAATTTCATTTCTAAAATATTTCGTCTTTACTAGGTCTTCTTATCCTTTACAATATTAGGTTTCTTAGTAGCCATTTTCTTTTGCTTTTTCTTGGCCCTGTTTTTGAGAATTTTCTTAATTTTCTTCTTTTTTTCCCTCTGTTGTGCTCTGCTGCCCTGAAACGTCCGTGATAATGATTTTCTCGATATCTTCTTTTTGGCAGAAGGTACATCATGGCTGTAGAACTGTTAAGTACTTACTTTGAAGATAAGCAGAAAATACAACACCATTTTAACTTTCTCACTTATTTATAACTTATGAAAGATTATATCCAAATCTTTATATTTATTTACTCATTTACCATAGTTTTTCCAATTATAAACTGAGGTTTATAGATAAATTTTGTCTGTAAAATCATAACGTGTAGTTTATATTTAATTTGTTTTTCAGAAGAAGCACTACAAATTTTATGCTCTTTATGACCTTTGGGTTAAATTACATGAAACATTTGTCAGCAATATTGCTACACTTTGATCATGCATTTCAGCCCAAACCCACAAATTTTCTATTTAATTAAATAATTCACCCAAGAACACAGAATAATAACACAAAAAGCACATAATGCCCTATAACTATCAAACTTTTTCTGGCCTTTGCATGATAAGAGCCTTTATCACACTTGATGAAGATAATTAATGAAAACCAAATTCTGTTACCTTTACACTTCTACACGTAAATTATAGTTCCGATCTTTACAGCTTAAAACGGTGTAAAGATTTCGTTATGTCAGACTTGTGCTTCTTTTGTACTTTAATTGTTAACCTACTGTTAGATTTCTAATTAGAATACTTGGGAATGAAATTTTCCATCATCTTCAGTGACTCTGATAAATTAAAATGAAAGTTCCCCTATGATTTAGACAAAGGTAAAGTATTTCCAGTATTTATATCCTTTGTACCTCTACTTCCAAAATATTTTCTACTGTTCAAAAGATCTTTGTTTCTTGTCTCCATTTAAAACTGGCAAGGAAACATGCTGAAGCCACATTTTACTAATAGTAAGAATGACTGTATCAGAGCCCAGACCTTATGATATTGATAAACTTTCATGCAGAGAAGCCCTATTGTAATTCATTTTCAATATATAGCAAATGAAACTAACACAAAGTTAACATGAATATATGAAAACCATTAAAACATCTCAATGATAGAGATACTGCATTAACTGCTTTCATTAAACAATTTTCCATATAATAATAATATGGTTATTTCATTGAAATATTGACCACCAAGTTCTATCTCTCTCTCTCATAGCTGTATTATATATCTATTATTGCAATGTGAGACTTGTTTTTTAGCCTTTTAACCATGCTTTACAGGCATTGATTGCTTTCATTAAACAATTTTTCCATATAATAATAATATCATTATTTCGTTGAAATATTGACTACAAGTTCTATCTCTCTCTCTCATAGCTGTATTATATATCTATTATTGCAATGTGAGACTTGTTTTTTAGCCTTTTAACCATGCTTTAAACATATAAAGATCTTAAAAAACCACAAAAAGAATATTGAGTGTTTCTTTTCCCTCTTCATTGCTCGAACAACTCTTATCTTTCTGTCCTTGAACTCCCTCCCATTTAATTCCAAAGCCAACATCACAGAATCTAAAGTCTGAAAGAAGAAAAAATATATTAGAAAGTCTCAAATATGCTGTTAATAGTACATCTCTTGAGAGTGCCAACTATTGTGCAGTTAGTTATTTTCTCTTCCCTAACTCTACATGAGGTTGGTCAATTTACTGACCTCGTAACCACCATAAAAAAAATTTTTGAAATAAATCCTAATTACCATTTTTCTTTCTAGAATAACTTCAAATTGTAACATGAAACTACATTTGTCCATCCTAAATAGCTTTAAAATTATGTCTAAATAATATTCCCACCACAAAAGTTGTAAATCACTTAGCGACTGTGTAACCTATGTTACCTTATCGAATAACAGTAATGCATGAGCTACTCGCGAGCACACCTCATGAAATTGTGTTACTATTATTATTATTATTATAATTTTTCTTTATTTTACTTAATCTATCCTTATCTAGCCTAAAAAGTTTCTAACTTTTATATTTTAATTACTTTCATAATAGTAAATAAAGAACACACATGAAAATAAAAATATATAGTACTTACCTGGGCCTTTTATTTTGCTGTTGACTGTTGATGAATCTTAACCCTACTTTTTTTTTTTTATTTAATTAAATAATGCACCAAAAACACAGAATAACAACATGTAAAAAGCATATAATGTCCTATAACTACTACAACTTTTCTGGCTTTCTAACTAGACAACAAGAGCCATTAAAAATTTGGATAAGTTCATCAAAGTTTGCTATGGGAATAAAATTTGAACTGAAGCAAAATAGACAATTATCTGTAATGAAAATAATATCTATTTGATAGTTAAAACTTTGGCTCTCTATTGATTATAAATAATATAGTATTAAAGATCAGAGAGAAATATTGATTTGTAAAAAAGAGGATGTGACAGGTGGGTGTGACAAGAGGGGTCTGATTTTCTATTTTATGGCTCTATAACCAAATAATACTGAAGTCTATAAAAATTATGCTTTCTCTGAGTGATGAGAATATTATAATGAGTAATTTAAGTTAAATTTTGTACATTTTAGATGTGTGGTAAATATATTAAAGAGGGAATGCCCAGAGAACAAATGTCAATTCCCATACTAGGGGAAATTGAGGATATTTTTTAAATACTGCCTTATAAAGATAAGAACTTAAAACTTGTATAATATTGAAATATAGATTATTTGCTATGTTTTGATGCCAAGTTTATCTGTATACCATGATAAAAAGGACTTTAATTAAATTTCAAAGACAACTTAGTAAAACCTTGTGTTATGCAGAGAAACTGCCTGTAAAGAAAGAGTTAAATGAAGTTTAAGTTTATTCTAGTCCTAGACCCTATAAAAATTTCATTATAAACTGTTACATTTTTAAGTCTAAATCAAACTAATGAGGGCATGAAGGATCCTGTCAAGAAATGAGTTTTACTTATAAAACATTATTAGATTTTAAATCTAAATAATACTGATTAAGGCATGAAGAGAATATTCACAACATCAGATAGATAGCTTTGTTACCCTTGTGAATGCATATGTTCCAACCTTTCACTCCTCTGTTGAAACCAAAGGCAAATTCTATGAAGAACTGCTGGAAGTTAGCACCAAAGATCCCAGCACAGAAAGTTGAAATCTACTTGGAGACGTCAATGCCAAGATTTATGCAGACAGGGAGCCCTGCCTTTTGTGTCTTGGCTCTAATAACATTGGAAACATGAACGACAGCAGGCAAAGAGTATTAGAGCTCTGCATACCCCATACTCTGTGCATTACCAATTCTTTCTTTCAGACATTATCATGCCTTAAAGTCTCCAGGAAACATCCAAGGTCAGGCCATTGGCACCATCTTGATCTCATCATCACCAGAAGAAGTACCCTTAACAACGTATTTCTCACCAAGACTTACCATTGTGTTGACTGTGATACAGACCACTCTCTTGTCATCATTGTAGTGTGGGTAAAGCCTAAGAAAATCTATCGCTGCTAACATCCAGGCTTACCAAGACTCAACATGGTCAGCACAGCACACCTTCAGAAAGCAGTTGAGTTTTCCCTGGCATTGGAAGAAGTAACTGAAGAGTTCCCATCTGGTGAAACAGTAGATGAAAAGTGGCAGCTTTTGAAAACTACTGTTTATGACACAGCTTTATCAACTTTTGGTCACAAAGTCAGAAAGAACCACGACTGGTTTGAAGCCAACTTCCAGGAAATGGCTCCACTTTTTGAAGAAAAACAAAGGGCATACCTAAATCACAAGAAAGAACTGAAAGAAGCCAGACATAACATACAAAAGACATCCAAACACTGTGCAAACAACTATTGGTTAAAGTTGTGGAAGAACACTGACACTGGGAATATCAGAGGAATGTATGAGGGAATTGGAAAACCAACTATGAAGTCAGCCCTGCTAAAGTCAAAAACAGGTGAGATCACCACAGATAAGAAGAAACAGATGGAGCAATGGGTAAAATACTACTTTGAAATTTACTCGCTGGAGAATGAGGTGTCTGAAAAGTCTTTTATCTGCACTAGCTGATTTACTCACACTGAAGAAGCTAGACTGCATTCCAACCAGCAAACAAAAAAAAAGGCATGGCAATAAATGCACTGGCCAGTGGTAAGGCTCCAAGTAAAGACAGTACACCAGCAGAAGTTGCTAAGTGCTGAAAAGAAATCTTAGTGCCTCAGTTCAAGGAACTCTTCACCTGCTGTTGAAAGGAGGGAACAGTACCACAGGACAAGAATACAGGCAAACGAAGCACATGTAATAATTACAGAGGCATCTCACTTCTTAGTATCATTGGCAAAGTCTTTGCTCAAGTTGTCTTGTGAAGCCTTCTAGTTCTTGCAGACTATGTGTGTACCCTGAGTATCAGTGTGGCTTAAGAGCTGAAAAATTCATTGTCGATATGATCTCTTTACTCTGGAAGATTAATGAAAAATGCAAGGAACAAAAAAAGATCCCTCTACATAGCCTTCATAGATTTGACAAAAGCCTCTGACTTAATAAGCAGCAAAGGTTTTTTCCAAATGCTTCAGATAATTGGCTGTCCAACAGAACTTCTCCACATCATCCGATCCTTCTACACAGATATTAATAGCACCCTCAATTCTGATGGAAATACCTCCGAACCATTTCAAATCAGGAGTGGCATCAAGCAAGGTTGTTTTCTTGTTCCCACGTTGTTCAACATTTTCTTTCTTCTTGATACGCATTTGGGTCATGAACAAAGAGAGTTTACCTCCACCCAAGATTCGATGGAAAGTTATACAAGCTGACTTCAATGAATCTTTAAACCCCTTTCTGTGCATGTCATGAGATTTTACTGAGTTATATTCAAAATTGAATTAAACCACTTTTCTATAAATGTAACAGAGAGAGAGTTTACCTCCACACAAGATTCGATCGAAAGTTATACAAGCTGACTTCAATGAATCTATCTGTGTATGGATCTGTTGTAAGAAATACAAAATAAGCTTAGTCTATTGTTCTTTTGAGAGGTATGTAATGTTTGGCAAGTGTTTCTTGCCTTATATGTATTAGTTTGCCAAACAATTATATTGCATTTAGGATTTACATTTATATCTTTATTAATTTTGTATTATTTGTGTTTAAAAATGTACATTTGAAATGTTTATGACTTTTTATACATTTAACTTGTTGTAGTTTGGCTTACCAAAATGTTTAAGCAAGGTGGCATCATTCACGTGCACGAGCGTAAGTGTTTGGAATTTGTGCATGAGACTCACCCTACAATAAGCAACTGAGCACCGAGTGGGACATGTTGTGGATCTTGGGATAATGAATAAAAGACAAAGAATTGGAAAGGAAAATTAAAAATAAACTACAAGTAAAAAGATAAAGATATGAAATTATGCATATGACAACAAGAAATATGAAAACTATTCTTCAAAAATTTAAAATGTACATACTTACTTCTATTTCTTAATTTCAAACATTTTATTGCACTTTACGTTAATGATGATATCTGGAGTTAATGATACAATAGAGAAAATTGAAAAACAAAATATAAAAAAATTACCTTAAAAACTTTTGATATTCATTTAGGAGGTTCTAGAGATTATGCAAATGAAATGTGAAAACTGTGAGATAAGAAATAGTATTTTTTATACTCAAAATAAAAATAACCTTGCATGTAAACTATTCAGATTAAATAATGAATGTTTTATTATATTAGGTTGTCAAGAAATTAATGTCGCATTTTGGAACACTTTATACATAAAACATGTGGCAATCAGTTCAGTGCTCCCTAAAGTAACATTTCACAGAGGTACTGTCCCAAATGGTAAATAAATTGAATATGTTTCACAATATACCATTATGTGTGAGAAGGAAAACAATATCATGGAATCTTAATTCAACACTAGAACAAAATCAACTATTAGATAACTTTCAGGTAAGCAAAACAAAAGCCTATAAACCAAACCTTAAACAAAATGAATCCAAAGCCCTTCCCCAGCCCACTGAGAGGGTCTCGAACAATACGAACACCTGCAATATCACCACACTCACTGAAGAAACTATACAATTCTTCCTCTTCAGCATCTAGAGGAAGAGAAAGATTGGCAATTTACAGTAGTGTTTTTGATATTCTTTACATTATCTTCTATCTTTGGAGAAACTAACAAAACAATGTTACATGTGTAATCATTTGACATTAATACACAAATAAAGGACAACATTTTAATATGTTTTGGAAAAGTAAAGCCAACAAAAAAATATGAAAAGTAAAGTCAACCATTTACAGAATCTTACATAAACCATTTTTTCTTTCTCATACTTTTGAACTAAAAAACTTGTATATCTGTATTGTACACAAAAAAATAACACTTAACAATTATGACTATAATAAAAGTACATGCAAAACTTATCTTAATTAAATGAAATCAACTAAAAATATTTTACATACCACAAGCTTCTCAGATATACCAACATCTTAAAAACTGTCAAGTGTTTCAAGAGTTATCAACAATTAAAGGAATGATGTTCAAACTAATACTTTTCACTCTTCACGGCTATATCTGAACTTTAATAGGTGCAATATGCCATGATAATAAGCAAATTTTTTGATTTGAAACACAGGATTAAATAAATGTGATTACTGACAAATAAAGCATAGTTTTCTTATGCATAAACAAGTACTTACTGAAAGGAAGGTTTCCAACAAAAATGGATCGTTTCTGATCATGTTGCTGACCACCTATAACTCTGTCCACCCTCAGATGATAACCTTTAAATAAAGTTCCATTACTGGAAAAAAAACAATAAAAATTATATTGTTCCATATCAATATGCCAATCAATTAACTTAAATTAGCAATAAATATTATGGTATTCAAATATACTTTACCTGTTTTTGATTAACCTTAGAAACTTAAAGAAATAGAAAAAGTTCTTTCTATTTGTATGACAATAGTAATTTAATTGTACATTAAATACTTTTACAAATCATCTTCGTTATTGTTCTAATCTCAATCTCTTAAGGTGCACCTATTATTTTGAGGGAATTTTGATGAGTTGCTTAAAACAAACTTGTTTATAAATTCAGAAAAAAGTAAAATACATACAGACTGACAGCCTCCTCAGCACTCTGAATACTATTGAAAACTACGTAAGCATTAATGTTATTTCTCTCTGGGTGAAAAGTATGCCTGAAAATAAACATTTTGAACAAATGCTATCAGTAGTGAAAATTTATGCAACTAATTCTGTAATAAATGACAGCAGTTTTTTAAACCTGAAGTTTCAAGTATATTTTCCTAAAATATGCAAGTTTATTCCATTTCCACTGAGCATGTAAGTAGATATTACTAAACATGACATGCTTTTCAAAAACTGAATTTTTTTGTTTTTCTTATAAAAATCTGTATGAACAAAAAGAATATTCTTCCACTACAAACTTTTTAAGTTGTATTTGTCTAATTGTTGGAAAAAAGTATAAGATATATCTAGGGTAACCAGACATCATCCCAATTTTCTGATAAGATTCCCAAGATAAAAATGCCCAAATGTCTCATACTTTATTTTTTATCAGTAATAAGTTTTTTATTCTCCTAGTCAGTACTTTAAGCCTCTGAAGACTATGAACCAACATTCAACAGACAATTCTTTTTTACCAAATAGGGAAATTACCACACAGCTTGGATATACTAAAGATAGCCCTTACTACTTCCTCTGAAGTAGGCTGTAAGTCATACTGCAGCAAATGACAATTACTGAATACAAACGGCAGATGCTGTTCACAGCCAATATTCAATTTTCAAGACATAAATAACTTATGTAAAGTAAATCATGAAGGAACATGGTAATTATTTAAATTTTTACAACATACTCCTGGCCAATAAGTTATTAAAAATTTTCACAAATCAGTGAAGTGTGTGTGGCAGCATGTAAGTAAAAATATTTTCACCTTATTATTATTATTTGCATGATCATTTATAATTTTCTCTAAAAAGAAAGGGATATTCCAGTTTTAATAAACACAACATTTCTGTTCACAACTGATGTATAATCTTCAAGTCACGAAGGACAGTCCTCAGATTTTTAGGACAAACTCCTGGTCAACAAGAAGTTGATTAAAAAACATTCCCTCATAGGACAGATATCTGTAACAGCAATAATATCAGTATAAATATCCTTTCATTTGATATTTATTATCTGTATAATTTATTATTTATAATTGTTTATAAAAGTCTGGGGGTCCTAGTTTCAAGACTTGAAAATTTGAGTGTGTACTAGCTTTATGACTTAACAATCTGATCACCCTAGATGTATGAAACTACTGTTTGTATGCAAATAATAACAAAATAATACTGTTACAACAAAACATCACAATAATACTATTGCAGCTGTAGCATAAAACTGCAAATTGATAAAATGAACAACCTGCCAGAAGAACAGGTATTTAGACAATTTTTCAAGTACTTTATTTGCCTTCATACAGATAAAGATGCAAAGTGAATCAAACAACTGATGATGGTGGACTATTTAAAGACATCATCCCTAAATACTGTTACATTAGAATATATAAATAGACTCAGACTTTTTTTTCACTTACTTAATGACTGCTACTCTTTTCGGCAATTTTGGTTGAACTGGAATCTATAAAAATTAGTTACAAATTTAGGGTTTTTTCATTACTCAAACATTTCTCAATGTGCATCATCTTTTAATTATAACGAAAAAAAAGTGTTTACAGAAACTTAATTTATTTAATTCATATGAAAACAATCAAACAACTGAAGATGAAGACTTTGTTTAACTGTTTCAGCACGGGCTTGGTCCGACCTCGT